CTCAGTGCCCGCAGTCTTGCCAGACGACTCGGTGCCCGCTTTTCCGCCAGTTGACTCGATGCCCGCTGTTCCGCCAGTTAACTCGGTGCCCACGGTCTTGCCAGACGACTCGGTGCCCGCGGTCTTGCCAGACGACTCGGTGCCCGCGGTCTTGCCAGACGACTCGGTGCCCGCAGTCTTGCCAGACGATTCAATGCCTGATGACCCAGTGCCCGCGGTCATGCCAGTTGACTCGGAGCCCACTGTCGTGCCTGGTGACTCGATACCCACTGCCTTGCCAGATGACGCGGTGCCCGCTGGCGAGCCAAATGACCTGATGCCTGGTGACCCAGTGCCCGCTGTCATACCTGGTGAACCGATGCCCGCTGTCGAGCCAGACAATCCCATGCCTGATGACCCAGTGCCCGCTGTCATGCCTGTTGACCCGATGCCCGCTGTCGGGCCAGACGATCCAATGTCTGACCCAGTGCTCACGGTCATGCCAGTTGACTCGGAGCCTACTGTCGTGCCTGGTGACTCGGTGCCTACTGCCTTGCCAGATGACGCGGTGCCCGCTGGCGAGCCAAATGACCTGATGCCTGGTGACCCAGTGCCCGCTGTCATGCCTGGTGAACCGATGCCCGCTGTCGTGCCAATTGACTCAGAGCCCACTGTCGTGCCTGGTGACTCGGTGCCCACTGCCTTGCCAGATGACGCGGTGCCCGCTGGCGAGTCAAATGACCTGATGCCTGGTGACCCAGTGCCCGCTGTCATGCCTGGTGACCCGATGCCCGCTGTCGTGCCAATTGACTCAGAGCCCACTGTCGTGCCTAGTGACTCGGTGCCCACTGCCTTGCCAGATGACGCGGTGCCCGCTGGCGAGCCAAATGACCTGATGCCTGGTGACCCAGTGCCCGCTGTCATACCTGGTGACCCGATGCCCGCTGTCGAGCCAGACAATCCCATGCCTGATGACCCAGTGCCCGCTGTCATGCCTGGTGACCCGATGCCCGCTGTCGGGCCAGATGATCCAATGTCTGACCCAGTGCCCTAGGCCATGCCAGTTGACTCGGAGCCCACTGTCGTGCCTGGTGACTCGGTGCCCACTGCCTTGCCAGATGACCCGGTGCCCACTGGCGAGCCAAATGACCTGATGCCTGGTGACCCGATGCCCGTTGTGGTGCCTGATGACCCGGTGCCCGCCGCCCCGCCTAAGGGCCCGGTGTCTGCCGCCCCTCCTGGGGGCCTGGTGCCCGCCGCTCCTCCTGGGGGCCCGATGCCTGTCGCCCCGCCTGGGGGCCCGATGCCTGTCGCCCCTCCTGGGGGCCCGGTGCCCGCCGCTCCGCCTGGGGGCCTGATGCCCATCGCCCCTCCTGGGGGCACGATGCCTGTCGACCCGCCTGGGGGCCCGGTGCCCGTCGCCCCGCCTGGGGGCCCGATGCCCGTCGCCCCTCCTGGGGGCCCGATGCCCGTCACCCCACCTAGGGGCCCGATGCCCGTCGCCCCGCCTGGGGGCCCGATGTCCGTTGCCCCGCCTGGGGGCCCCGATGCCTGTCGCCCCGCCTGGAGGACCGATGCCTGTCGCCCCTCCTGAGGGCCCGCTGCCCGCCGCTCCGCCTGGGGGCCGATGCCTGTCGCCCCGCCTGGGGGCCCGATGCCTGTCGCCCCGCCTGGGGGCCCAATGCCTGTCGCCCCTCCTGGGGGCCCGCCGCTCCGCCTGGGGGCCCGATGCCTGTCGCCCCGCCGGGGGGCCCGATGCCTGTTGCCCCGCCTGGGGGCCCGATGCCTGTCGCCCCGCCTGGGGGGCCCGGTGCCCGCTGCTCCGCCTGGTGATCCGGTGTCCAGCTCGATGTGCCTCTGCCCGGAGTCCAGCTCGATGTGCCCGGAGTCCAGCTCGATGTGCCTCTGCCCGGAGTCCAGCTCGATGTGCCTCTGCCCGGAGTCCAGCTCGATGTGCCGCTGCCCGGAGTCCAGCCCGATGTGCCGCTGCCCGGAGTCCTGCCCGATGTGCCGCTGCCCGGAGTCCAGCCCGATGTGCCGCTGCCCGGAGTCCTGCCCGATGTGCCGCTGCCCGGAGTCCTGCCCGATGTGCCGCTGCCCGGAATCCTGCCCGATGTGCCGCTGCCCGGAGTCCTGCCCGATGTGCCGCTGCCCGGAGTCCTGCCCGATGTGCCTCTGCCCGGAGTCCTGCCCGATGTGCCTCTGCCCGGAGGAGTCCTGCCCGATGTGCCTCTGCCCGAGTCCTGCCCGATGTGCCGCTGCCCGGAGTCCTGCCCGATGTGCCAGTCTTTGATATCCCGCCAGTTACCAGACCCGGGCGGTGGAACATTTTGCCCAGCTAGGACTGTTTGGAGCGTCCTGAGGCCGCTCCTTGAGGGGGGCGTACTGTCAGGAATGGACTGGCCAGTAATGGTGGGACTCACCTGCCTTGTGAGCTGCAGTACCAGGGCTGGCCAGCGGGTGCTCCCAGCAATCAGAGACTCAACCCTGCATCCAGCCAAACACCTGAAACTGCTTATGCAGGTGTATTTAAGTGATGGCCAGACCTGCAGTCTTTGCCTTGGTGTGTGTGTTTTTCCTGGGCCCTGTATCTTGTTCCTGCATTCCTGTACCTGTACCTGTTCCTGTCTCTGTCTGATTCGTTGCTGACCCTGCCTGATTCCGGACCTCTGCTGACTTCTCCTGTTTCATCCCTGGCTTGTGACCCCGACCATTCTCTGCCTGACCCCCTGTTCCTTCCTGCCCGATTGTTATTGACCTGGCCTGCCTGACGCTTGCATTGTATATATTGTTATCTGTGGGTGGTTTGGTTTGGTTCGTTTGCACTGTGTTATGTTTTAGTATTGCACTGTGTTTATGTTTGTATTGTTAGTCTTTAATAAATTGTCTTATTGTTTATAACATATCTGAAGCCTGCGTTTCCCTGCGTCAGTCACATACCTCTGGTCACGCCCCAGAGCCAAAAGATTGATCATGTCCTCTGACCATTCTTTGGATTCCGCTTAGTGTAGATTCCTGGAGATTCTTATACCTTTCCCTTGTGGCCATTTACTTTTCCATACTCCTCCCCTCTCCCTTCCCTATTGGTTTCCCACGATCTGACAGTCTATTTATACCCTTCAGCTCCAGGGGCAGGCCTGCTTGACAAAGGAGGCGGAGCTTCTGAAACGCATTGCGGCCCACCCATTCGCTATTCAGGGCACCTGTCACATCTCCCAATCACTGGCGGGAATGCATGGAGAGACGCCGTGGAGTCTATCTTAGCGGGTCTCTCCCCATGCCATGCAGGGATCATCGGTTTCTGCACTTTGCACGCACCACGGATGCTGATTGTGGGAGTTTTTAAATGTAAGTCTCATTGTTTTAATCCACGCTGATCTGGGTGCCCTGATGTGCTCTTTTTGCATGGTTTATTTAACGGCTTGTAATTCATTCCATTCACTGCCATGCTGCCATATTTGCCCCTGGGAGCAAACTGAAATGAATTTTATTTATATATGTGGGTATATGGGCTCTCTAAACCTTTCACACAATGCAGCTATGGTTGACTTGGCAGCAGGGGAGCAATAAAGAAGTTTGTATAATGAGCACAGGGGTCAGTTAAAGTGAAGGTCTGGCCTGGAACCCCCAGCTACCTGCAGCTAATCGCTCCAGTATGTAAAACTATAAACTATTAAAAATGTTTTGGATAGGTTGCTAGAGGAGTCTTATCTTTTTTACCTCTCCTCCTCTTAGACTCCCTTTCACATGGGTGATCCAATTAGGTCCACCTGTCAGTTTCCATGGACATGCAGGTGTAAACGGACGTTTACACCTATCTACATCCAGGTCCGATCCAGTTCACTAAAATAAACAGAAGGGGATCAGTCCTATTCTGTTTAGATGGATTGGAGGGTAGTCATCCGTCCTCTCTGCTTCGATCAGCAGGGGATCTGCGAGCACATTCCCTGCTGATCGGAACAGACTCTGCCCCATGTGAAAGGGACCTTATTGTTGCATTACTTAGGGTACACTTAAAGGATAAGTTCACCTTTTAAAAAAAAATTATAAATGCACATTTTTTTGCAAGTAAAAAAAAAAGTGCATTTACTATTTTAGTTTTGGGAGCCTGTAAAGCATTGCACCAATGATCAGCAGTGTATCTGTTTGTCCATACATCGTACGGGCAAGCAGATTCACTCTGACAGGAAGAATCAATGAACTACCACAGCGCTCCACAGAGCGCCATGGTAGTTCATTGAGAACTACAATCCAACAGCTGCAAAGGCTGTCGGAACTTGTAGTTTTCCCAATCACAGAACACTGTGAAGCCCCGCACGGCTATTTTTTTTTCAAATTGTGACACCTAGCAGGTTTAGAAGATCTCCCGCTAGCTGTCACATCATCAGATTGGAGAGGCCAGTCCTTTTGTAACATATTACACACTGAATATGAGTGTGTAACATGTTACAGAAGGTGAACTTATCCTTAAAATAGCAGTGGGTGCTTACTTCCTATTCTGCCTTAATGCTGGACTTGTGAGCTTTATCCTGAAGGTAACTGTTTTATTATCTGTTTTATTCCCAGGTATTAATGTTCTCCTCCTTTCATTTTTTTCTTCTGACCCACTACTATCTGCTTTCTATTTTCTCTCTCTTTCTTATTTCCTTTTCCACCTTATGCTTTCATTTTCCCTCCCCCTTTTTTTTTATCTTCCTACCATTTCCCTTTCTCCCCAAGTAATCGTCCCTCAATCCCGCTTGTTTAATCACTTGCCTACCAGCATTTTCACCCACTTCCTGCCCAGGCCAATTTTCAGCTTTCAGTACTGTTGCATTTTGAATGACAATTGCGCGGTCATGCAAGACTGTACCCATATGAAATTTTTATCATTTTTTGAGACAGATAGAACTTTCTTTTGATGGTATTTAATCACCACTGGGTTTTTTATTTTGTGATAAACAAACCAAAAACAACTGAAAATTTTGAAAACAAAGTTTTTTTCTGTTATAAACTGTTGTAAATGAGTAATTTTTTCTCCTTCACTGATGTGCACTAATGAGGGTGCAGTGATTGGCACTGATAGGCTGCACTGATGGACACTGATGAGGAGGCACTGATAGGCGGCACTGATGGGCATTGACAGGCATCACTGGTGGGCATTGACAGGCATCACTGGTGGGCAATGAAAGGCAGTACTCATATATGGCACTGATAGGCTGCACTGACTTGCACTGATAGGTGGCACTGGCTGGCACTGTTAGGCGGCACTTACTGGCACTGTTAGGCGGCACTTACTGGCACTGTTAGGTGGCACTGACGGGCACTGATAGGCAGCACTGACTGGCAGTAATAGGTGGCACTGATTGGCAGCACTTATAGGCGGTACTGACTGGCACTGATAGGTGGCACTGAAAGGCAGCTCAGATGGGCACTGATATGTGGCATTGATGGGCACTGACAGGTGGCATTGTTGAGCAATGACAGGTGGCATTGATGGGGCTACACTGATCATCAGGGCACTGATCATCAGTGCCCTGATGATCAGTATAGATGTCCCCTCTGAGGAATGCCGATTACTCTCCTCACGAGCTGTCAGCGTGACAACATGTGAGGAGAGAAATGCTGATAACCAGCATTTCCTTATTTACATGCAATGAGCTGTGATTGGACACAGCTGATCACATGACAGAGCCGAAGTCATCGGCTCTGTCCGCTGATTGGTGATCCGCTGTGTCCCAGGGACACATCGCACCACTGATTGCTGCGCAGCCCGGGGGCACGCACGCGCGGTTAGAGTGGATGGACGTCATATGACGTCCTCCAAGAACGAGAGAACCACCTTGCGCCCATCATTTCCTTATATGATGGGTGGGAGGCGGTTAAAGTTTTTTTTGTATTTTTTTTACCTTGAAAAAACCTTCTGCAAGCAGTTTCCTCCCAGCCTCTTCTTATATTGACCTGAACCTGATCTCGATCCAGTGATTTGCACAAGAGCAGCGGCTCTTCTGACTCTCTTTCTCCTCACTGGACAGAGAGGCAGCAGTGGGAACCATTGGTGGCTGCTTCTTTCAATCTTAGCCAGTGAGGAGGGGGCAGGGCGGGGCAGGGACAAGTCGTGCTATGTGTTCCAATGGACACACAGACCTGGCTTGGGAACAAGCATGCTCAAGTGCCCCCATAGCAAATGACTTGTTATGGTAGGCACTCAGCAGGGGGGAGCCACCCAAGAAGAGGAAGATAGGGGCAAGTATAGCATGTTTGTTATGGGTTTTTTTTTAATGTATACCTTTAGAATCACTTTATCTGTTCTTTGAGTACAAAGAGACAATAGTGGTATCCTTTTAACCACAATAATTATTTCTCCTCTCTTTTATGCTATTTTGTAACTGGATTAGCTTAGGACATTCCACTTGCTGTGATGGGATCTCATTGTAATACAGCTTCTCAATAATCTTTAGTTAAGATCCTTTTACTTAATGCTAAATGTCTTAATTATCCTCCACAAATTTTACAAACACAGGCTAATTGTTTTCTCCAAGAGATACATTTCTGATCTGACTGCATTCCCAGACTTGCTGATCATAGTTACCCTACAGTATTCCATGCTACCAGTCTTATTTCCAAATCAAAAGGCATGTCAATTTTATTTTCAAGTAATACCCAGTTCAAGCTGACAGCACACCAGGCTGACCTGGATTGTTGTTTACTTGGTTCCAGACCAGTGGCGCTCGCTAATATTTACTGTCCCTATGGACAGGTGGGATTCTTCCACAAAGCAAGTAAATAACTAGCTGAGTTTAAAGATGGTCTACTGGTGGTCGGCAGTGACTTTAATGCACAGCTCACTCCCTTGCTAGATACTTCTACGGGCTCCTGCTCACTTCCATACCTGGCTTTACACCAAATTTGGTTTTACACCAGATTAAAAGGTAAAAAGAAGGTGTATCAACTACTTGTTTCTCTCCCAGGCTGATCTGCGTTTTTTTATCCTCAGCTACAATAGTGCCAGTGTTTATTTCTGACAATCACTCCATCTCTCTAACATTTCTCTTCCCTGAACGGGATCCCTTTATAGGGAACATCAGAAGCAAGTACTTACTAACACCATCATCTCTTTAGAAAAGGCACTCAGACAGTCTCCAGCTCCTGATACTCGAATCGAGCCCATTTAGACTCAAAGTATAACTAAACGCAAACTTTTTTTTCTAGTTTTGGATGGAGTGGAGAGGGATTAGAATGCCTGTCAGGTTTTTATTGCTGTCTGTAACCCCCCCCCCCCCGTTAAGGAGATTAACCCTCTCTCTTTGTCCTGTTTACCATTATCATTGAAAGTGATAGTAAAACAAAATCCCTAATTTCTGGGTTGTCCCTAGAAAAGTAATGAAGGGGAAATCATCCAATGGGGACTCTAGTTCTGGTGACCTGGGGGTCCGCAAGGAATTCCCTTAGTTTTCAGGGATTTCCTCTCACTTCCTGTTTGACTATGGGACAGGAAGTGAAGGGAAATATCCACAATGGGACACAGATGACAATGAAAAAAAAAAAAATCTGAAAGGGGTTATAACCCTCCCTTGCACTATCCAAAAATGAAAAAAAAATAAACTTTTGCCTATAGTTCTACTTTAATGGAAGAATTATATAAATGCACCAAAAGAAAACTTATTTTTACTCAAAAATTGTTGTATGAACAGGCAACAAATGTGGGAAACTGCTAGCTAGGTCCTTGCATGCTAGACAAGCCACTATGCAGATACACAGTATTTGAGACAAGAAAGGTATGCTACACAGTGATAGGGCAGTGCTCACACAAACAATTCTAGTCATATTACGAAACCCTATATAATCTTCGCACTACTAGTACGGACCACGGCTCTGGGTCATTTGGCGATAGACAGAGAATACTTAAAGATTTTCTAACTAAACACAGCCTAACCTCAAATGCAGACACCCTGCTTTTAGTAGCACCTATTACTACTGAAGAATTTGAAATGAAGCCTGGGAAGAGCCTGTACCTGGATGGGTTCCCAGCACAATATTATAAAAGTTTCCACCAGATATTAGAACCTCATTTTGTTTCAGCATTCAAATCCTTTGACTGAATCTCTTCCCCCATCCTCAGCCTTTTTAGGGGCCCACGTCACCTTAAAGGCAACATTCACCTTTAAACAAAAAAATAACAAATGCACATTTTTTTGTGAAGTTATTTTTTTTACTTAGGATCCTGCAGAACACTGCACCCTCTATCAGGAGATCATGGGTGCAATTTCAGACTCCTGCAGACTCTTAGTACAGCTCTCTGCCTGTACCTCCAATACGGCAGACAGTTACTGCAGAGCTCACCAGCATATTTCATTCATTCACAGAATTCTCTGCTCTGCCCACACAGCCATGCTATTTTTAAATTGTGACAGCGGGTGCAGGGAGAAGAGGTTGTTGAACATATTACACCCTGAATATGGGTAACTTGTTCAGAAATATGATCTTATCCTTTAATAATTTCCAAAGATGGTAAGGATGTGTCACAAGTGGAAAACTATCAGCCCATTTCAATGATAAATTTGGTTGTTAACCAAGGATTTTGGATTACAGCTTGCTTCCTTTCCTACCAAAATGGATCTCTCTTGACCACATTGGGTTCATTCCGGGCAAGTAAGCCCGGGACAACACATGGAAGGCGCTAAATATCCTCAAGGTTAACCACAATGGCTTTTTTTCCTTTCCCTGGATGCTGAAAAGGCTTTCGATAGGGTGGCCTGAGAAGCTGTTTGCTTCTTGGGTCCATGAGGCAAGTTTTGTTCAAGGACAGTCTTTGTTCACCGCTCCTCATGCCAAAGTGAGAGTAAACAGCCACCTATTGGATGCCTTTCAGATCTGTCACCCACTCTATTTGTCATAACCTTGAACCCTTCCTTAGGAGCCCTATGTGCCTATCTGGCGGTGTAAGGTGTTTTGATGAGGAGCAGAGAGTATAAATGAGAGGCTTTTACGGATGACGTTTTGATTTTTTGACTGAATCATGAATACCACTTCCTACATTGCTGCAAGAATTGGATCAGTATCAGTTTCTCTCAAATTTAAAAGTGAACTACTCCAAATCATATGCTCTTAATATATCTCTACCTGCAGAAGAGGTGACTTACTCTGTACACAGTTTTTTTTTTTCCTGAAAAAAAAAAGATGCAGTCTCCTATCTGGGGATCCAATTCCCGTCTGTCTTGTCAGATTTTTACAATCGCAAATATCAACCCTTGCTAGCACAAATCCATTGGTATAAAACATGCTATTCCTGTTTAGGGAGAGCACCGATTTTGAAAATGAATGTCTTACCTTGCCTACTTTTACATACTTGAAACAATAACTACCTTTTTGCCCACTGCTTTTTTTCCTCCGTGAAGGCCACGATGACTATATTTTTGGGCAGGGGAGAACTCCTGTATTAAGCTTTGCACTCCTGACTCCCTAAACACAGAGGAGGCATTGGCTTTTCAGACATCAGGAAATACTACTGGGCCTGCTGTCTGATAAGAATTGTGTACTAGTCCCTGCATCGGTTGTTGAAAGATTGGATATCACTGGAACAATCTTTCTCGACACTCCTACTGGACAATGCCCCATTCTTACTGTCGACCTCCTCTCTGAGTTCTGAAAACTCACCCACTCATATGTCCTGCACTCTGCATTTTACAACTTGCTTTCAATGCATCTTCCTTCTCTTTAGCTAGGGGCCTCTCTCCAGGGCGGAAAATCTGGATTATATCTAAATGGCGCTATTTAAATATGATCCGGACTTTTGTCCTGGGCTTATTGGAAAATGTTTGGAAGAAACGTAACATGGTGGCAGGTCATTTTTTGATAGGGGCTACCTCTTGGACTCTATGACGTTACGTTTTCTCTCTCCTAATCATCCAATACCTTTGTGGACCTACTTTCAAATGATGACATTTTTGCAATGCCCCAGCAGCTAGAGCTCTATATGCCAGGAACCCTACCCTCTTTGAACCCTTCCCAAAAAATCATATTATTTCCTTCAACTATCTTAATTATCTTTGAATCAATATTTGCATGTCACTTTGTGCTTCCAAAAATCATATTATTTCCTTCAACTAGTACTTTAAATCTCTATAATTTATCATCCAAAAAGTCATCTTTTATTGGATTTGCTGATCTATATTTTACATTAAAACTAGGTGGCAGTGCTCCTCTTTGTGCCTTTTCTGGGAGGATGTACACCGTATAATTTCGTGTTCATTGGGCTACTCCTTGGATTTCACTCCCACACAATATTTATTACAAAATATTAGCTTGTCCTAACTTTAGTACTTTAAATCTCTATCAATGCATATGGTGAATGTGGCCAGATCATGTGTCTCTGTTCATTGGAGAAAGTCACAACCACCTACGATTGCAGAATGGTTTTCCACATTAACAAACTTGCAGATTTGGAGGAACTGCTGATACATACCACTCAGGACAGAATTACATTAAAACTAGGGTCTGTTGGTTACATTATAGATCCACAGCTGAATACTCTAATCTACTACATGGCAATACT